TCTTGCCCGTATTGCACCGTTTTTCATTTCTTGCCTCAGATGTGGGGGCCACCTGTTGAGGATGAGCTGCACATTCTTTTCTACTGTCCCCTCTATAGCTCTGCACGAGGGGAAGTATTCCGTGTTGTTCGCATGTATGGCCTTGCGGCGCCTGATGGCAAGGTTTACTTTCGATGGGATCTTAATTATTGTGATCCTCTTGTGTTTGCCTTTTCTTTGCTCACCTCTCGCTCACTGCATGTGCATGAAGCGGTCGCCACGTTTCTGCTTTCTGCGAAAGCCTCGCGAAAGCGGTGGGTTGCGTTGCATCCAATGCTTCCTTCTCCGGACTCGTGATTTTCTATGGACTCACACAGACCCTTTCTTGCGTACCCCTTCGGGGGGCCGGGGGGCAAGGTCCCCGTGAGGTTAACGAACGAACGAACGATCGGAGTGTGATCGTGCGTGGCTAGTGTACATGGAACGGACTCGCAAAAAGACTCGGAGGTTAAGGCCACGAGGTCCGTCAAACACAACTACCTACCTACCTACTGGTCGGTCTTCGATGCGAAAGGAGTACTCGCTAGTGTATGGGAAGACATTGCCGTTGTCAGGACAGCCATCAGCCAGGGCCCATTTCATGACTGCCAGTGATCGTGCGAGCTTGGACTCGGGACTTAGGTTGTGATGCGCATTCATATCCTTTCGGGTCAAGGATATATCGACATCTGTGTGCCACGCTCACGCTGACGTGGGCGCAGCTGAGGTTGAGTGAAAGATCTACCGGCGTGAGCACCGCATGCATGTCCCATCGGGGACAACCGAGATACCCATCTCATCGGAGAGATGAGCAGCGTGACCCTCACCAACGAGCAGTTCGCTCAGCTCCTGCAGCAAATCGGCAGAGGAGGCGGTGCGGCGACAGTCAAAAGTGAGCTGCCCAAGTTCGACGGTGACGACGAGCAGTGGACGTCGTTCAGGGACCTGTATGAGTCCTACTACGCGTCATGCGAGCAGAAGGAGCTGCTGCCCGAGACCCAGGCCAAGTACGACCAGCTCGGGCCGAATGACCGCAAGCAGCAGCGAAGCCAGCTGGCCTTCCACCTCAACCAGTCCATCGTGAGGACGACGGGCGGAGTGAGCAAGGCGCAGGAGATCATCCAGAGCGTCGAGGACGCCAAGAAGAGCGATGGGAGCTGGCTGTGGCTGCAGCTGGTCAACTACTACGACCCACGGCGCGAGCAGCAAAAGGCAAAGGACATCGACGCGTACGAGGACTTCAAGCTGGCGTCAGGCGACGTGGCCAAGGAGCTGGCACGCTACGAGGGCGCTGTCAGGAAGTGCGAGGCGGCGGGTCAGGCCATCGGAGAGGTCATGAAAGTCAACAAGTTCAAGCGTCTCCTGCACGGCCTGCCCGAGTACAGGGTGTTCCTGGAGATCATCGCGAGTGAGACGAGCACGGCCGGCTGGGACGTCTTCAAGCAGCGTCTCCTGAGCGCAAGCGACAACGCCAAGGCGGCGGAGAGTGCGGCAGACAGCAGCACGGTGGCGGCACTTCGCCATAAGCCCCCGTCAGTGTCCCCCCGAGGCGAGAGGGGGCAGGGGCAGGCGAGAGGGGGTGCCCAGGGTGGTCCAAGTCGGTTCCGCAAGGAGGGAGCCGCACCAGCCCAGGGACCCGACGGCTGCTGGTACTGCGGCAAGCACAAGGACAAGTGGTTCGCGTGCAAGAAGCTCAAGCGAGACATCCGCGACAACCGCGTCGACTGGAGCCAGTCGCCCTACGGCAAGGAGCCCTTCGGCTTCCAACGGTTCCCCAACAGGCTCAGGGCAGCGACAGTCAACGCCGTGCAGGACGAGGGCGATGAGGACGCCCACTACACCGTGGCGGTGGTCAGGGCAGTGGACGAGCCAGTGGTGTCGCCTGGCGGGTCGAGTGGTGTGCAAGCGACAAGCCCCGTACAACAAAGCATGGGGTCCGGGGCCCCCAAGAAAGTAGCATCTGATGCTCGCCCCGGCCCGCATTCAGGTCAGAATGGCGGGCAGGTGGCGAAGGGCAGACAGACAGAGGCTGGCGAGCAAGAGCCCACGCCTGTCTGTCAGTTGTTGTCGGTCAATAGGTGTTCGTCAGTGTTGAGCAAGGAGAAGGAGGACGACTTCATGGTCGACTCTGGCAGCGACAAGCACATCACGTGGGACGAGAGCAAGCTGCCCGACCTCAAGCAGTGCGACAACCGCATCGAGACGGCGGACGGCACAGTGGTCAACGCCGACGGCATCGGCACACTCACCCTGCAGACCAGCGGCGGAGCCCTGGTGCTGCGTGGTGTCCTGCTGTGTCGGTCGATCCAGCATAACATCATCAGCTCAGGACGGCTCGGCAAGGAGGGCAAGCGCTTCGTCCACGACACCCACAAGAAGGACCAG